GTCTTCCAGCGGAAGTTCCGGCGAAAAACGACATGCATGAACTCAAGGAACGGCTCTCCGTCATCTGCAGGAGCAACACGCGACTGTCATCCGTCTCCTCGGCGCGTCCGTCTCTGGCGAACACATCTACCTCGTCTACGAATTCGCCCGCGGCGGGTCGCTCGCCGAGATCCTCCGCAACCAGAAGAACCCTAGCTTCACGGTCCTCTCCACTTGGGTCTCGAGAATGCAGATCGCCACAGACCTTTCCCACGGTCTCGACTACATCCACAACAACACCGGCCTCAACATCAGCCTCGTCCACAATCACATCAAAAGCACTAGCATCATCGTCACGGAACCCTCTTTGAACGCCAAGATCTGCCACTTCGGCGCCGCGTATCTCTGCGGAGAAGCCGGAGACGATAACTCCGACCCAAAATCTCCGCCCGATTCGGAGATAACGGAGGAAGAATCGAGAAAAATAACCCGAACCGGCGGATCCATGCGGTTCGAGGGGGTGAGAGGGTACATGTCCGATGAGTTCCGGTCGTCGGGTGTTCCGACCCGGAAATCCGACGTGTACGCTTTCGGTGTGGTGATTTTGGAGCTTTTATCCGGTGAGGAGCCGCTCAAGTACCGGTTTGATAAAGAGCGGGGGGATTTCATCAGAACCTCGGTGATTGAAACCGCGAGAGCCGTGATCGACGGTGGAGATGAGCAGAGCAGAGAGTGGAGGCTGCGGAGATGGATGGACCGGAGACTAGGTGATTCATTCCCCGTGGAGGTCGCTGAGAAGTTGACACGACTCGCGCTGGATTGCGTACACGTGGACCCAGATAAACGGCCCCACATGGGACGCGTGGCAGGAAAAATATCGAAAATTTATTTGGAATCAAAAATTTGGCACGATAGTATGAAAATCTCGACCGATATCTCGGTCTCGTTAGCGCCGAGATGAGTTTTGAATTTAAAATTTTCGGAGGAGGCTGTTTCTTTTTTTCTTTTTTTAATTTTTTTCGTGATAAATTGTTGATCGTGACGAGAGTGAAATGGATATTGTACATTTTAAATTCTTTTAGGTAATTATTTATTTATTAGTGCAGATTAAACAAAGATTAAGTGAATTTAATTAGAGTTTATTTATTTATTTAATATTTTTTGATTGCTTTAAATTGACGTATCTAAAAAAATTAATTTTGGGTTGATAATACCAATTAATTGTATTTAAAATAATATTTTATAATATCCGAATAAATGATTCGCTGTTTGTCAAAACAAATTTGATGTTTGAGAATCAAATAAGATTTGCATATGTTACACAATCCCATATATGCGTATATATATAATAAGGCTGTTAGCTCTGTCCAATTAATTAATTTTTGTCTTTCCTTGTTCACATTGGTTAATTATGATAATGATAGATCATTATTTTATTGATTAATATTTTTCATTAATATTTACGAAAAGGAAGGTATGTTAGTTGTTGGAATTTTTTTAACGACAAATAAAATTAAAATTTTAATTGATTTTAATTATTTCCAAAATTAATAATTTAAAATATTTTTAAATATATTTATATTAATTTTAAATTTTTTAAAAAATAAATTTTATGTAACGACCCCGAAAAAATAATTAAAATCACTATGTGATTTTGCATCGATTCTTGTGAGCACACACGCTAAAAAAGTTCGGTGGGCCGAAAAAATATAAAAAATCAAGACTCACCAGTGGCGAGACTTTCCGGTGCAGCGGCTTCTCCGGCTCACATTGCGGTTTGGTATTTTACTTCGATCAACCTGTAGATAAAAAAACGGTGATCACAACGGTTAAAAAATTACGTGAAACGGGAATCGGGAATGGCTTCATCGGAGGCGATTTGTGAAATTTTTCGCGGCGGCACCACAGGGCTTCGTTGGTGTTTTCCGGTCAATTAGCCGGTTCTTTCATTTCGATTTGGTCATGAGTGAGTTTAAAATTGAATTTCGTACAAAAAGGATAAATATATATACACACACAGAGACAACTATATTTTATTTATTATTATTTTATTAAGTTATTGATTTACATGAGTCCATTCTATTGGGCCTTTTGATTTCTAACAATTTTTCAATTCCTTAGCATAAGGGCCCAATGCCCAATTCGATACTTGATTCCTCGAACCCGACCCAATTATATGGTAAAAAATATCAAAATGTAAATAGTAAAATTAAGTTACATTACTGTATAAAATGGTAAAAATGGGTAAATATATATATATATATATATAGATATGGTTGGTTTATGAATGAAGAAGAGAAACTGAAAATTAAGTTACATTACGTATGTGTGTGTGTGTGTGTGTGTGTGTGTTATTATATATATATATATATATGTGGATATATAGAATAAATAATAGATATTTTCTATATGCCCCAATGTTATATGTCGTTCTTATTTTGCAAATACTACTTAATTGCTAACAATTATATAAAGTATAAGTATGTATAATATCTAATAATGTGGAATATAAAAAATATATAGTACTTCATCTATATATCCATGTATAAACTCTCACTTCTTTGTTTGCCAATAGTTTTATACTTTATTTGGAAATATATCTTTCAAATCGATACGTGACATTTTAATTTTCTTTTTTTCTGTCGATGAGATAACAAAAAAATAACATTTATGTGATTTTTTTATATGGTAAATTTTTGTCATTTCTTATTTTACCTATCAGAAAATAAAAAATTATAATTATGATATTTATACATATTATAAACTCATACTTAAATTAGATACATTAAAACTTATAACGGTTTAACCATAATTAATCATTTTTAAATGGATTTAATAAAGTGATAATCCGTTACGTACACCGAGACCCATTTGAACTCACTTGCAAATAAAAAATCCAATATATAATATTAACGAACTTAATGTGATTGAATTAAGTTTTATCTTACTAGATTATTAAAATTACGATAAAATAAATATTTTGTTATGAATATGTTTCGTGAATTATAATAGTTACAATGATTTAATAAATAATTTAAAATTTTTAATTAAAAAATTAATAAGTAAACAGCTTTAATATACTTAATTAACAATATTCTCTTCTTTTATAGTTTAGCATTAAAATTATTAATATTATTACAATTAACAAAAATCTTCTTGCTAGCTGAGCTCATCTTTATAGATATTAATATGATTTCAATGTTTATATACAGATCTCTATTTTATAATACAAACTGTATATGTATACGTATGTATTACTAACTATATAAATTTATGAATCTTATTAATTAAATACCAGCCATACATGACTGACTGAGAACGCAATTGGATGCCTGAAAGTTTCTGTAGTTTCATCAAACCATTGACCACTGACTCTTAGGGAAGAAAAGTCTACAATCTCCACTGCATTTTAAACTTCCCAGCTTCTAAGATACGTTATCCCACGCTGTATATAGAGACCACAACCACCCATCTTCTTCTGCAACCAAAACTCTAAAGCTTGATACTTGCATCAACAATGGCGCACATCTCTGCTTTCCTTCTCTTCAACATTATGTTCATCTTTCCATTTCTTGCAAACTCCCTCTCTTCCTGCAACGGCCCATGTAGAACTCTCAACGACTGCTTCGGCCAGCTCATCTGCATCAACGGCAAATGCAACGACGATCCGGACGTCGGAACTCACATCTGCAGCAGCGGCGGCGGCGGCGGCGGCGGTGAGTGTAAGCCGAACGGCAACATGTTTTGCCAAGGGAGTTCACACCCGACGTTCCAATGCTCGCCGCCGGTGAAAATGGCGAACGAAGCCTTGCTGACGAACAACAACTTTGAGCCCGGCGGTGATGGCGGAGACCCGTCGGAGTGCGATGGACAGTTTCACAAGAACTCGGAGCTGATCGTGGCGTTATCGACGGGGTGGTATAACGGCGGGTCTCGGTGCGGGAAGGGGATTCGGATCCGGGCGAGGAATGGGAAGAGCGTGGTGGCGAAGGTGGTGGACGAGTGTGACTCCATGAATGGGTGCGACAAGGAGCATGCAGGGCTGCCGCCGTGCGGGAACAACATCGTTGATGGGTCTAATGCTGTGTGGAATACTTTGGGCCTTAATGTGGACGATGGTATTGTGCCCGTAACTTGGTCCATGGCTTAGGGTTTTGGGCTTTTGTCGGCCTTGGAATAATGGGCTTGGTAGGAAACGATGTCGTTTTGTTCACACCTGTGTCCTAGTTTCAAGTCTCTTAATTATGTAATGAATATTCCCTGCAAATAAAAAGGAACAACAATATACGTAATTAATAAAATCGCTTTGGTCCGCAATTGATACCCGTAAAGAATAATTAAATTAAAATTAATTTATTTATTTTAAAGTGTTTAAAAAATAATAAATTATAACCAAAATAATTATTTTAATTAATTAAATTTAATTTTTTTAATAATTAAATATTATTACTAATTATGTAATTATTACGAATAAATATTGAATTAAATCTATTTAAACGCGCCGAAAATTACTCAACTATGATTTCCATTGTCAATTAGTTACGTAATCAAAGCAAAAACCTTCGTATCAACCGGGGGCCCATGTTTTCATTTCATTCTTTCATTTCATATACCACATGAAGTGTCATATTTGACATGAGGATAACCTTGAGCTACCCATGATAAATATATTTATATATATATATATATCTCACATATACTATACATACATATATATATATGTCATTTATTTTGCCTTTATGGGAAATTTATATATGATATTAGTATTCATTTGTTATCATATAAGTTTCTTGATAATTATTACATAATTTATATTTGGGATAAAACTAAAATTCGAAAATATGAATAAATCTAAACGAAATAATATATTTTTGTTGATTAAGTTGAGAATTATTATAATTAATTTTGGTATATTGACAAAAACATTTTTCATTTAATTTAGTTAAAATTAAAAAAAATTAATAATAAATAATTTTTGAATTTGTCTATTTAAAATCAAATCACGAACCTTAATTTAAGCATAACACTATATTTAATAAGAATTAAAAAAAATATGTATTCAGGTTTGATATAAAAAAATGAGAGTAAGAAAAAAAATATAAAAATTTAAAAAAGATAAGAGTAAGAATACCAAAACGAATATATATACAAATTAGAGAAAAATAATAATAATGTATTCAAAATATTTTATTAATTAATTGATTATATAAATAAAAATAAATAATTTATATAAAAAAAAAACATACATATGAATAAGTAAATAAAAAATTATAAATTTATTAAATAAAAATATATTCATTTTCTAAAAATATATATATATATATTTATATACCTATTTTTTCTCTCAATGATGAATCAAACTTCAATATTCAATTTATAAATACTATTTTGAGGAACTTAAGCCATGGGTTGTATATGACCCATGTCGACAAACATATATTTATGTATAAATTAATTTTGAACTTAATACAATATTATTTAAAATGAAAACCTGGTTAAATTAACTTAATCCCAATCTACCCATAAAAAAAAATATATATTAATCTTTGAATTAATTCCAGCATGTATAATTTAAAAAAAAAAAAAAGAGAAAAGAAATTCTCTCTGACACATAATTTGTTACTTTTTTATACAAACCACATATTCAATTGTTCCAAAAAATTGCATTGCAGAGAAAACAGTTCATTTCATTACACACATTCCCACATCGAATAAATTCACATCATGTCAACATAAATATTTAAAAAAAAAAAAAAAGCACTCTGACGTCATAAAAATTTTTACCCCATTTTTTTTAATAAATACCACTCACATCATCTGAAATAACTTACGCTGCACGCAAGGTAATTTCCAGCCAGTTAATTTAAATTACATATATGATAATCAATAATATTGAATTTAAATTTAAAAATTTAATTAAAACCCAATATATTAAATATTAATTTTTATGTGAGGTGAAAATAATTATTTTTACGAGTAATTTAAATTGATAAACATTCATTTTTTTTATTAATTTAATATTGGAAATAAAAATATGTATGGAACGTGTTTAACTCATTTCTTTCACAAAACTCTGCGTTTTAAAACTTTCATTGATTAGTTTCCTTCCCAAGAAATATTCTTATTGGATTTTTGGAAAATAAACAGATACACACATACATATTTATATATACATACATATATGCACCCTATAAATCTGTCTCTGACATATTTGTTACTTTTTTTGTTCTACAAATCACATGCTTAAATTGTTCCAAATTTGTATTGAATAGAAAACAGTTCATCACACACATTCCCACATCGAATAGATTCACATCATATCAACGCAAAATTTTAATATTTAAAAAAAAAAAATTCATTAAAAAAAAAAACTAAAAAAAGGGTTTTTAATAAATACCATCCCATCAACTGAAATAACTTCTATCTTATCTGTGCACGCAAAGTTATTTTCCAACTAAATTAATAATAACTATTTAATTATTAAACCGATTATAATATATTTATTATTACGTCATTGCACTGTCTGTCCAAATCGCTCACTGTCACCCGCCAGTTACTGTAGCACTGCACCCTCCGCCAGTTAAAAATCATAGAAGCCGACCACACGCACGCCCATAACATCATAACTCATTAGCTCGCCTTTTTGTCATGGTCTTTAAGTCTTCGCCGTCGGATGTTAATCCCGGTCGCCTGATCTGACGGCGGAGGTGACTTCGCGTACTGTAGAGTCTACTCTGGGTCTTCCTTAGAAGAGGAGAAGAACCGTACTAGTGCTTTTATTTTTATCGGTAATCGGTAATATGATTTTGGCACCAAGCAAAGATCATGGCTACTCGGGTGGTGACGTAAGCGCCAGTTGCCCGTTTACCGCGGTAACCGGTAAAGATTTGTGTCCGACAATTTTTTATTCCAATAAAAAAATTATTATTGTAATATATATTTTTTTTCAAGTTAAATTTTCTAAATTTAAGTATTATTACAATAATTAAAAGAAAAGAAGAAGTTTAAATTAAAAAGAAAAAAAGAGCGAGAGAGAAAATTATAACTATAAATATATATGTGTAGGCACCTAGTTTTGTAAATACAAAACCGAATCTCCACGTTCAAAAAGGAGGTAGTAATAATTATTGATGACGTCATATTTATTTTTTATAATTTTTTTTAAATACAGTTTCTTTATAAATTCATTTATTATATATTAAAATTTAAAATTTACATGATTTTTTTAAAAGAATATTGTAAAAATTAAGGAGGGTAGAGTTGTGATTAATGGGTTAATCAAGTCTGTTTCTTGAATCACCATCATATTCGATGGAGAACTTTCTTT